GGGAAAAAATAAGAACCAAGATGCATTATGTAAAGGTACAATTCCCAATGAGAAATGTAATTGTGTTATATACCTAAATGTACCATAAAAGAATTTAACAAAAAAGAAAAAAGGAAAAAATAAAGATCAAAGGTTAAAATTGAAGTACAAGGTGCTGGGGATTTAGCTCAGTGGTTCCATTGCCTGCCTCACAATTGGAAGGTCCCGAGTTTGACCCCTGGTACCAAAAAAAACCAAACAAAACAAAAACAAATAAAATTAAAGGACAGTTTCCACTGAAAGCATATAGCTAGCACAGCATTGTAAGATCAAAAAATCTGAAGTTGAATTATCATAAGTTGAACACCATCTGGATAGTCTTTTTCATGTTTCTCAACCATTTTTGAATTACAATGCCACACTACTACAGTAAACAATAAGTATGCATGAATATCCCAGGAATTACATTAAAAATCAAATAAAATGCAGTTTCTACAAAATCACTGACCTAAGGCCACCTATAAGCTATTATTTGTAGGAGGCTGAAATGTAGCTGTCTTTAAGAAGTAAATAAGAACTTTTTGAGGATAATCATGAATTTCCCATTTATGCTGATATAGAGAGGAAATAACAAGCAGAACAAAACGAAGATATTCAGAGTGTGGCTTTAAGTGTTCTGCCAGGGCAGTCAATGGAGGAAAAGCACAAAAGCAGAGAGGTTTCATGTTGATGTTTTAGACAAAGAACCAGCATCCGATGCTACTGATATGCTATCAGATGTGCTTACTACTTCTAAGCCCACAGCAGCGGTAAGCCCTCTGTACAAACCAGCTCAGGCACTGACTTCCCTTTGTCACAGAGATGGGTTCTACCTGGAGGAACTCGATCTTGGGAATCAGCTGATCAAAATAGCGATTCACTGCTCTCTGGAAGCCCTTGTAAGCTGTCCACAGCCTCATGTTTGGGTCCCAGAGTAACCAGCTAGGATTGAAAAGGTGAGACTTAGACCCAGACCAGGAGTCAACAATGAGAAATGCTCAGCCACAGGAGGTAGGAACATGGACAGTGTGATCTGAGGGCTTAATGCCGCATCAAGAAAGAGTAGCATGTCTACCACAAACATTTCGGCACATTGGCATCCCCTTTCCTCAGGATGAATTGGGGTTTGGTTAATGAAGATCCAGAACAGAGTTCACCGAGCAAAAGCCCATGGGCCAAGTAAGACTGCAGTCTATTCCTGTCAATACAGTCTTCTAGGACATAGCTGCACACAACTGTTCACATATCATCATAGAAGCTTCTATCCCACACCAGTAGTAATGAGCGGCTACAACAGAGACTTTGTGGCCCACAAAGCCTAAATATTTACTATTTGGCCTTTTACAGGAAAAATTTTCCAAACTCTAGAATGAGATTTTATAAAGCTGTTTGGAAAGAAAAAAAAAAGCTTTTTATTAGAATATTACTCAGCTATAAAAAGGAATGCAGTATTTATGTGCTACAACATGGATGAACCTTGGAAATTTTATGACCGAAGCCAGACACAAAGGCCACAAAGTATTTTAATCCATCTACCCAAAATATCCAGAAGAGGCAAACCTAGCTAGAGGGAAAATAAATAAATAAAATAAAACATAGAGAAAGATAATTATGTGATCACCAAAAAAACCTTAAAACTTATAAAAATATTGCTTAATTTATAGCTATTGCTTAATATATTGCTATTGCTTAATTTATAGCATTGCTTAATATAGCTATTGCTTAAATTAATTTATAGACATTGCTTAATATTTATAGCTATTGCTTAATTTATAGCTATTAATTTATAACTATTACTTAATATATCGCTATTATTTTATATTTTAAGAATAAATAAGAACTCTACCCCATTTGCACTCTACAGATGTAAATTTATTTAAAAAGGTGACAACAGGGGCTGGGGGATTTAGCTCAGTAGCAGCGTGCCTGCCTTCCAAGCACAAGGTCCTGAGTTCGATCCTCAGTACTAGAAAAAACAACAACGCAACAAATAGTATATGATCCTTAGTATCTTAAAGCTCATTTTCAATGTCATTAAATGGACAAAATTGTACAAATAAAAATGTATACAGAAAACAAACAAAAACACTGCTCTAACTTGTATTGGAAGTGCTTGTGGGCCAGGTGCAGTCACAGCCAGGAACACCCACCTCACAACTTACCTGGGCAGGCCTCCAAGGTCCAAGTCACTCCTGATGTAGGGGCCAGGACACACAGTGACCCAAAGCCCCACCTCTGAAGCCATAGATACAAAAGCCCTAGGAAAGAAAGCAGCAACAGTAACTTCACTTAGAAAGCTGAGACCTGGCGTCATGGCCATGTTCCTCTCCTTGCATTCCTCTGAGGTTAAAATGAATGGCACAACCTGGCCCCCAACACCATGTAAGAGACTGGTACAGGAGACTGGAGTCCAACAATTAATGAAAAAAGGGCTCTGTCCAGGCACTAGAGAGCAGAGCATTCAGTAGAAGTCCAGAAATCCTAAACTCAACCCTCCTGCCCAAATCCACTCCTGCTCCAGACTTCCTACCTCCATGAATGGCAGGAGCATGCAGCAAGTCCTCTGTAGCAGAAACACACAAACCATTCCTGCTCCTCATTCTTCCTCACCTACTGTCTGTCAGTCACCAAATCATGCTTATTTTCCTACTTAATGCTCCCAATTGCCAAATTCCTCTGCATTCCCAAAATTGTCAAATTCCTCTGCATTTCCACTGCTTCCACGTTGGTTCACAAACTTATCATCTCACACCTGACTATTAGAATGAATGAATGACTGGTTTCCTTCCTTTGTTCTTACTTTCTTCTAATCCCTCCCCAATTATTGTCAATAAAGATATCATTATTAACAACAAAAACAGTAACTAATATTTACATTGTATCAACATCAGGCACTATGGCTAAACTTGTTTATTTGGGGGGGTAATTGTATGGGATAGGTATTAACATCATCTCCATTTTACGGACAAGAATATTAAAACTCTTAACAGGGTTTCCTCAAGGTTACATTTTAGTACGTGGAAGATCTAAAATTAGAACTCAGGCAGAAAGCCTGCTGAGATGAAATCTTAATTACTCTGCTATGTTGCCTCTTATAAGTCCTGCAGGGTGTAGGGATGTAACTCAGTGGTAGAGCACATGCTAAGTGTGCACAAACTTCAGGGTTCGACCCCCAGCACCAAATAAAACAAAATAAAACCTCTGCCAGAAAGATCTTTCAAAATGCAAATGTAAATTTTCCAAATTAAAATTCTTCAAATAATTATCCAAAGCCCTCAGAATAGGTCCCAAATTCTGTAGCATGGTGTAAAAGGCCAAGATCTAGATACTGATCATCTCTCCAGACTTATACCTTGGAAATTCTACTTTAAAGTAGTAGGACAGTCAAACAACATTATTTGCAGATCCTAGAAAATGCAATGTATGGCAAAAAGTTAATCAGCAAATCTATTCCTTTCTTTCTTGGGTGTATAGTTCAACCACATTTTCCAGCTCCCATGCATTAGATGGAGTCACGTGTATGACAATAAAATGTGAACAGAAGAAATAGTCTGGACATTCCAAAGAAGAGTCTCCATACCCTTTCTTCCATATTTGGGCTTGATACAAACAGGTATTGTGGTTTAGAAGTTTTATATGAAGATGATGAAGAACCCTGCATTGCTCTAATTATTTATTGGAAGAGAAATATCTGATTATTAGAAATACCTATTTTAATTCTATTTGAATAAAAACAAACCTTTGTTAACAGAGTTGAGGCTTACATGTTACAGCACCTAATTTCACCTTAACTGAGGTACAGTGCACTCTCACATTTCTGACCTTGCCCCCGCAGGACACGCCACCTAAAATACCACTCAGCCCCTTCTAGTTAACTTCTGCACAACCATAAGACTTACCTCAGCTGGAACTTCACCACTGCCTTCCTGATCTGTTTCCCTAGTTTGAGCTGTATCCCCCTAGTTCATTGCATTTATGTCTCTCTCTTTACTCTTAAAAGAACAGCATGTCTTGTCTATCTCCAACAATCACATCTAAACTACAGTAGATAGTAAGTATATATTTTTGTATAAACTAGAGTAAATGGTAAGTACATATTTTGAACAATCATGTCTTCTCATAGAAACCATGTAAACTAAACCAGAAAGCTCCTGTTAACTGAGAGAACATAGTCCTCACGGTAGACGAACATTACCGTGGGTAGCAGGCTAGATGAACAATTCTAATCCATAATTTAATACTAAGGCCTGTGCCCCACTATAAATCAGACTCCCTGTTTAGGAGGGCTATTACTTAGGGAAAAAAATGACCAGAGCTTCCAGACTAGTCTCAAAGGAGAAACCAAGGTGTCCCCTATTCTTTCACCCAGTGCCTATTGCTGGATTCCCATCTCTCAGCCGCAGAATCAGCCAATTAAAGAATGAGCACATACATGAAATCCAGGTTTCCAGTGAAATGAAATTGGCCTACTATCAGCTCATGGAGGTTCCAGGGAACATGCCTGCAACAGTAAGAAAAGAGAAATATAAGATCCATTCCTTTGCTTGACCTGATTCCACACTGGTTTTTCTAGTTTTAACAGAGCACCTAAGCTATCTCTACCATGAAGGAGGCTGCAAGTTTCAATAACCCAAACTCTGTGGGCGCAATATGTATTATCTTCAAAATTTCCTCCCTCTAATTCCCAGCAAAGATCTAAGCAGCCAATATTTCTCCATGATTCTGGACTGCGGGATGCATATATAATGCTCTCTGATAATGCACCCACAAATTTCCTTTTTTAATGCTCATGAAAACACATACAAAATTTAAATCTACATCTACAATGGCCAAAAAAAGAGAAAACTATTTATCATAAAATAGAAACCAGGCAGGTGTGGTGGCACACACTTGTAATCCCAGCACTCAGGAGGCTAAAGCAGAAGGATTGCTGTGAGTTTGACGCCAGCTGGGCTGCATAGTGGTGCATAGTGATCAAGGCCAAAATGAACTACATAGAGAGACTCTGTCTCACACAATCCAAAAAAAGAGAAAAGTTTACAGAACTGTGTTTTGGTGGGGTTTTTTAAGGCTCTGAAACAAACAAAAAAACAGAACCAGGAAATACAAAGAACACCAAATATCAATATTAGGGCTAGGAAGTGTATCCCAGTGGTGATACAGTACCTGTTTAGCATGAGTGAGGCCCAGGGTTCATATCCTAGCACCCCCAAAATAAATCTATACCTAGAAATAACATACAAACCACAGAAATCCAAAGAGAAAAGCCAGAAGGCAAATTTTTTAACCCACAGAGAAAAAAGAATCATAATTATACTAGGCTTTTCCTGAGGAAACCAAGCAAATAAGAAAACAACAGAGTGAAGTATTTAAAGTTTTGAAAGAAAAAAAATCTCACCAAAACTAAACTTCTATATTCTGTGAAATTATCCTTCAGAAGTGAAGGAGAGCTTGCCCCAGCCAATGCTTGGACCCATACATTGAGCCAGGGAGGACCCTGGGACTGACAGAGTACCCCAGTCCCAGCAGACTCCACCCCTGCTCCTGGGGTCTCCTCACCACAGGGCAACAGAGGTTACAGCCAATCATCGACTGACCTGATTAAAGAATGAGACCAATGCCCAGGAGAAGAGTTTTGCTTTAGGATTGAAGTGTTACCCTACCACAGAGACCAGGTAAGAGACAGCCCTGGGAGACAGGCTTGGAGAGGGGGAGAGCTAAACAGGGATCTTCTGGGATCCCTTGGGAGGCCTAGACTCAGGCTAGGTAGTTCACAGGGCCTGTATTCTATTAAGAGAGGCCAGGTTTAGAAGGTGAAATCAGCAGAGGGGGTGGTCCTGAAGGAGAGGGCAGTTTAGTCTAATGGTATCTTTGAGCCCTAGCACTGCTGCCCATATTTAGCAGGAACTGGTGGCCTGAAGTATTTTTGGCCAATATACAGGTGTTTAATTGTCTTCACTAAAATCATAGTCCTCTTAGTTCTGGTTAAGGGATGTTCATAGTCATTCCTAGGGTTTGTCAATATCTAGTTAACATCTACTGCCATTGTTGCTGCTGAATTTACTACTATAGCCAAGGTAATATAATAGTAGATGACAAGTAGTTTTCTACCTGTCAATATCTGGATTTTCTGGGAATAGCAAACAATAAAAAACAGATACACATACACAGGAGAACATGAGAAAAGCAAGGAATCTGAGTATTCCCCCAATGTCTCTCAACTCTTCTAAGGCAGATCAAAGGTCCACAAATGGAGAAGAAAACAAATAGCAGGTAACAGAACTATACAAAAAGGTTATAGAAAAGATGAAGAAACTAGGTAAGTTCAAAGAGGAAATGAACCAAAAGTTCACAGAAATATCACTGAAACTACCCAAAAAAGATACAAGAGAAATAAATTTTAAAAATGGAAGAGTTTACATTAACTGAGATTATTAGGTTCCTGTACAAGGCATATTTTTATTCTACTTATTTCCCCTTCTCCTCCTCCTTACACTTTGCCCCTGTACCCTTGGACCAGATGAATTGCAAACAAATACTTATAAAATAAAAAATTCAAATTTAAAAAAATTGGAAGAGTTGACCAAATTGGTTCAAAACATGAATGACAAATTCGCCAAAGATTTAGAATCCTCAAAAAGATATCAGACTGAAACACCTGAAATAAACTGTATGGAATTCATAAACTGCAGAAATGACCAATGTGAAGACTGAGTGTCTGAAATTAAGGTCAAAATGGTAAATTATGAAGATATTCAGAAAAGTCATCAAAAAAACAAGAGGAAAAGAAAAGACCATTCGGCAGCTACTAGATGATACTAAAAAGATCAATTTAAGGCTAATTAGTGTTAGAGAAAAGCTAGAAGATAACACATATAGAATTATTATGTTTAGAGAAATCAAAGGAGAAAACTTCCCAAATATGAAAAAAGAGTTCAACATACAAGCAAGTGAGGCTTCCAGAACACTAAACAACTATGATGAAAAAAGAAGCTTACCAAGATATATCCTTATTAAATTGCCAGATATTCAACAAAAAACCCTCAGAATTTTAAAAGCAGTCAGAGAAAAATTAAAATCACAAATAAAGGTAAACCCATTAGAATTATGGCAGACTTTTCAACCCAAACTTTAAAGGCCAGAAGAGCTTGAAGAATTTCAAGCCCTAAGAACAAATAATCTCCAACCCAGAGTCAGTCACATACTAGCAAAGTTTTCCTTTAAAATAGATAAAGAAATAAGGACATTTCATGAAAAAGACAAGCTCCATAGACATATGGATACCAAGCCAGAACTCCAGAAAATACTCAAGAATATCCTAGACAGAAATGAAAACACCAATAAAGCTAAAAATCCAGATGAAATGAAAACACCAAGCAAGGTCAAAGGATAAACATCAACAAAAAATGACAAGAAAAGAAAAACAAAGGAGTCATGAACAGAGAAACAATACAATGATAGTAAATAATCAACACATCTCAGTAATATTTCTCAATGTTTCCAATTTCTCAACTCTCCAATTAAAAGACACAGACTGGCAAAATGGATCAAAAAATGGAATCTAACAATCTGTTGCAATCAAGAAACACATCTAATCCAAAAAGATATTCATAGACTAAAAAATCAAAGGATGGAAAACAATATTTCATGCACCAGGACCCACTGTGCAATAAAATTAGAACTCAACGACAGAAGAAACTACAAAAAAAGTAAAAGCAGCTGAAAAATTATACACACTCCTAAACAACCAAGAAGAAATCAAGGAAGAAATTAAAAAATTTCTAGAAGTTAAAGACAATGTATGCCACATGTAAGCAGTCCTAAGAGGGAAGTTCATTACAAACAATGCTTACATTAAGAAAACATAGTGAAGTCAAATAATCTTAGGAAGAACCTTAAGATACTTGAGAAATAATAACAATCCAGGCCCAAACTAAAATTAAGAAAGGAAATCATAAAGATTGGAGCAGAAATTAATGAAATTGAGCTAAAACACAATACAAAGAATCAATAAATTGAAGAGCTGGTTTGTTGAAAGAATAAATGAAATAGATAAACCCCTTGCCAAACTTACCAAGAGAAAGAGAGAAAAGACTCATATCAATACAATTAGAAATGAAAAAGGAGAAATCACAACAGACACCATCACTGTAAAATCTAGAAGATAATTAGTAACTACTATGAAAAATTGTATTCCAATAAATTAGAAATTTTTGAAGTAATGGACAGTTTCCTAGACTCATACAAATTACCAAATCTAACTCAAGAACACACAAAAATACTGAACAACCCAATAACAGGCAATGAAATTGAGGCAGTAATAAACAATCTATCAACCAAAAAATCTCAGAACATGATAGGTTCACTGCTGAATCCTACAAAAGTTTTAAGGATGTTATATTACCTATATTCCTCAAGCTCTTCGAAGAAATTAAAAGGGATAGAGTGCTTCCAGATTCATTTATGGAAGCCAACATCACTCTTATTCTAAAATGAGATAAAGACCAAACTAAAAAGAAAACTACAGGCCAATCTCCTTAATGAACATAGATGCAAAAATCCTCAACAGGTTATTAGAGAATAGAACTCAGCTCATCATCAAAAAGATAATACATCATGATCAAATAGGTTTCATTCCAGAGATCCAAGGATGGTTCAACAAATGCAAATCAATAAAGGCAACACATCACATGAACAGAAGCAAGGTCAAAAACCACATGATATAATAATAGATATTTATATTATTATATAATATAAATAGATGGAGAAAAGGCTTTCAACAAAATCCAATACCCCTTCATGGTAAGAACCCTGAAAAACATAGTTAAGAAGGATCATACCTGAATTTGATAAAAGATATTTACGACAAACCAACAGCCAATATCATATTAAATGGGGAAAAACTAAACTCATTTCTTCTAAAATCAAGAACAAGACAAGGATGCCTACTATCACCAGTTCTATTCTAGTACTCAAAGCATTAGTCAGAGAAATCAGGCAAAACAAAGAAATAAAAGGGATATATATAGGAAAGGAAGAACTGAAATCATCATTATTTGCAGGTGACATGATAATCTAGATAGAAGACCCAAAGAATTCCACCAAAAAACTTAGAATTAATAAACTTCAGCAATGTAGTAGGATATAAAATCAACACACAAAAATCAATAGCATATTTGTACACCAATAATGAACTCAATTAGGAAGAAGTTATGAAAATAATACCATTCACAATAGCATTTAAAAAAAATGAAATATGTAGGTACTGACCTAACCAAAAAAGTGAAAGATCTCTACAAAGAAACCTACAATTCTCTGAAAGAGGAGACTGGAAAAAACATCAGAAATTGGAAAGATGTCCCCTGTTCCTGGATAGGCAGAACAAATATTCTCAAAATAGTCATACTACCAAAACTGTTATATAGATTCAATCTAATCTCAATCAAAATACCAACAGCATACTTTATAGACCTAGAGAAAATAATCATAAAATTCATATGG